CAAATACCTACTTTTTAACCATTTTTATATTCACCATTATAAAATATTTAACTGATACTATATTTCATATTCATATAATATAATTACTAACAAAAGTCAGGACTTAACTCAATCCATTTCCAGTTTTAATTGAACCTAATTCACTTTTCGGGCTTTTGTAAAAATCATAATAATCTACATTACATTTCTTCAAATGGATCCTTCCTCCATCTACTATCTAAAATATTCTATTTGCAAAATTTTTGTCCATCCTAATATTCACCATCATATATTATTATCCTCTTCTAATTATTTATTGATCTTTCAATAAAATTACCAGAAAAATTATCGCTTAAATCAATCTATTTCCCTATTTTAATTGAACTTATTATTCTATCTTCTCTTTATTCCTAATTATAAGATCCACCCCACTATCTACCAACTTTTCTTTCCTTTTGTTATTCACCATTATAAGTGACTTCACTATCTCTAGTAATATAATCAAATTTTAATAAATATATCTAAAATATTTCTCTTATATCCTTCCACTACCCAAACCTAATTGAATCTTTAAGTCCACCTCTATTTTTATCAACTTTTTTGCCATTTATATATTAACCATTATAAATAATTAAAGAATCACTAATAATATAATAAAAACTAAATACTCTTGACCATTTTCCAATTTTAATTGAATCTTTATCTTCTAGTTTTTAATCATAAAATCCTTCACTGCTGTCTTTGAATTTGAAAATATATTATTTGATTTGTTACTTACATATTTTATAATGAGTGATATAAATCTTTCCTCGAAAAAATTATTCATTTATCAACTTTTCGTCCATTTTTATATTCACCTTATTCGATCACTTATTTTTTTCTAATAATTTAAAAATAACTTAAAAATAATACTCCTAAAGCTCATGTGCCAATTCAATCTCCATTACGACCTTCTTAGAACCCTCTTTTTTCTAAATATATGATCCTCCACCTCTATTTATTAATTTTTATCAATCTACATTATATCTAATTTATCCATCCTTTTATAAATGATATCCCATAAACCAACTTTTGACCCATTTATATATTCACCACTATGAAATACTTAACTTTTGCTGATAAATTAAATTCACTAAAATACTTCCTAAATTCATCACCAAGTTCAATCCATTTGCCAATTTTTAAACCTTTCACATTTTATACTCCTCCACCTCTAACAATATCTTTGAATTGAATACATTAGTTTATTTTCATATATAATTCCATGTTCGACTAATTAATCATTTGCATATTCTCCGCATTCATACTAACTATTTATTATTATAATTATTATTGTATTCTTTGAGTAATTTTTGCTTAATTCATTCCCAAAACCTTGCTTGAAACCATAATTAGAGTATAATGTTTCATTATAATTTTTATTATTTTTACTATAATATCCACCAATATCTAATATTTAATCTCCATTCCAAATTGCACTTCATTTTGCAACTTTGCTTAGTTTTAATTTTATTATCCGGACCATTAAAGATATTTGATCTATTCTAAATAGTTCAAAACTTCAGGTCTATTTATTACTTTATCTCTTTTTTTGTTGATAATACATTCTAATAAGTTATCATCCATCAAATATTTGATATATTTCTCTTTAGTAAGTATAATTTTAGATGTAATTTTTACTAATTTTTCTTAATTAGAATCCAAAAATGCACCTTTATCATCTTTACTTATATTTCACCGATCAAATAATTTTCCCGTATATCTCTTCTATAAATTGGCTAAAAATCTATAGTGTTATTTATTTTACTCCTCCAATCCACTCAATCCTTTATATCTAAATTACAATCTTATGAAAGATTTATAAAGAATTCAAAATAAATTAATAATGATAATAAAACCATTTATGGATATACAAATTTGTAAAATTATTTAATTAAGTTTAAGAGCATTCCAAATTAGTATCTAATTGAATAGGATTTACATTTGATCTATTTTTCAAATATCCACAATTGCAATTGATTT